AAATTAACAAGGAAAAGATGCCAACTCATTAAAAACTGGGCAATGGATATAAAGAAATAATTTTCTAGAAGAAACTCAAAAGACAAAAAGCATATGAGGAGATGCTCAGAGTTATTGGTTACCCAGGGAAATGCAAGAATAAAGATTACATTTTATGCTTATGAGATTTGACCAAATTTTGTATGGCATATTATGCCAAGGGATGATGGGAATACAGGGAATGCTGGGAAGGAGATGAGCAAAGTCATTCTGGAAAGGAACTGACCAAACTAAATCCATGCATGCCTGTGCCCCATCGGCCCTGATACGGGATGTGCCACCCAGAGGAGATCTCACAGCCCCACCATCGAATCTGCATAAGGGGTCTCTGCAGTGCGATTTGGAGTGGGGAGAAACAGAACGTGAGTTACAGAGTACCCTACAGTGGGGAGAATCAGTGAGCCGGTGATGCACATAGCTACATGTATGAATCTTGACTTTCAGTTTTAAAAAAAGTGAAGTGTAAATGAGGCACAGAATACCATTTCCATTAAGCCGAGTATCCACACCACAAACGACTGTGCATGCTTTGGGACACTGGTGGACACAGACACACAGAGGAAACACTTTAGAGGGCTGTCCATGGGCAAAGGGAGAAGAAAGGTAGAGAGGAATGAGGATAAAAAGGAATAAAAGAAGAGAAACACTTAGCGGGGCAATAAAAATGTGCCACAAAGCGGGGAGTTTGGTTCACTTATCTTTAGTACCTGAGGCTTTTCATAAAATTTACTACAATTTATCTATTTTTTTTTTTTTTATCGGTATCAGGGATCGAACTCACGACTGCCTCTGCTGGCACTTATGCCTCTGAGCTAAATCCCCAGCCCCTACTACAACTTATTTTTAGCACCTGAGACATTTGTATAATATTCACTACAATTTAAATTGAATCTATTTTGCTGCCATGCAGTTCTATACAACTCCGATAAGCTTTTAAAATCACTGTTTTCATCATTCAAACAAGGAATCAGCAACTTACAAAATTACTGAACTTTAATCTACTTATATTGAGGGTCTAATTATACCTCTTCGTAAACACATAATGATGTGTATAGTAAAAGACAATTAACAAAAGAAAGAGACTTGTCAACTCATAAGGGGACAAATTATTTAGATGTAAATTGATCGTATCCGTTGCTTACTCACGGCTTATTATCACCCTGTGCTAGGCCTTTTTCTTGTTTTAATTTATTTCCTGTTAACACAAAAGTCAGATGCAAAGGAAGAGACCACACAGTTGCTGCATTGATCTCCTGACTCTGCAAGCAGCAACCTGGGGGGCTGGAAGTTGAAAAGGCTTTGTTAACTATTGCAAAATAGCCAGCATTTTGTGGACTGCTCTGGAGACATTTTGGATTCTTACAAATCTAATCACTCATATAATATGGTGAAAGTCTTTTTAACAGTGTAATAGCAAGTATAAAGCATACTGAGCCAGGTGATGCTGTGGCATTGCTGATGGTTCTAGTTTTGTACCGAAGAGAATGTCCTTTAAGCAGAGTTCAGCTGGCAAGAGATTGTGCTAGGTGGAAGTTTAGAGACAAAAGACCTTGTGCCTAGCTGGAGCCGTAGGAGCTCTGCAGCAACTCGAGGTGTCTGTGGAAATTCCTGGCAACTGATGACAAAGGCACCCATCTTCCTTCCTGGAGGCATCTGCCTTTAACTCTTCCCTCAAAGGGAAAACCACAGGCACAAGCCAAAGCCAACAGTAAAACACTCCTCACCTCTCCTCCCTGTTACACAGGAGCTCTCTCCAGTTAGTCAGGCTGCTTCCCACCTGTGCATTCATGGACAGATTGGTGTTTCTTGGCGGTATCAATATTTTCCATTTCTACAGCACATGAAATCATTCCCCACCCCCAGGAAATATTGTGCCCAGGCAAGGAATTTCGAAGATGTGTAGATTACCTAAAGGTATCTTAATTCAAAAGTCTTTATTTTTCAGAAATCTTAGAGATGTTAACAAGGACCTACCAGAAAGTCAAAATGGGGATTGGAAATGATTTAGGCAAGGAGTTTAAAGATGAAGTTCTATGACACAAGCCTTTGTCTCCCCATCCTCTCGGTGGATTAAACGTTTATTCCATCACCAGGGAGGCTACAAAGCACACAAACGCACTGTCTGCAACAAGCCATTGTGCATTTTTCTCCATCCTTTAAAGCTTCTGGCTGTACGGAATACAAGATTACAAATCAGGAGGCCACCAACATTCAAAACTCAGCAATTTGAAGCTTTGTTTATAAGGGGAAAAAAAGCAAAACCTTCCTATTTGATTTTTTTTTTCCAGGAGACATGTTATATCAATGTGAACAATCAGCAATTTCTGTTTCAGCCAAGCTACCAGGAAGGTAAAAACTAAACTTTATTGCAACTTCATGCCCAACTGTCAAACTTAGTTTCCTACACTTTTGGAGGCCAAGGCTCCTTCCTGGGCCTCCTGCTTTGAAGGGGTATTGGAGGGACTAGACAGCCACAGAATCTGTAATTCTTCACAGAGCTAAGTGTTGGGAGAGGGAATGAGGAGTGTACAAGATGGCTTGAAGACAACACATCAATACAAGACAGGAGCTTTGATTTTAATCTGGTCTCCTGGGCTGACCCTGACTTCTAATGCTCACCTATCAAATGCACTAAACATCAAATTTTAGAAAACTATTATATAATTATGTTGCCTTTCAAAGTGACTTCCTAAGAATATGAGAGATCTATTAAAACAATGTAATTTTATCATATTTTAGTTTGTTATTGAATTTTTATAGTTGGGTTAGTTAAGATAATATGATACTATTATTGAAATCTTGCAGCCAAGGTTTCTAAACATCTAGATCACTAAAATCTAGGGTACCTTTTAGCTGTCTTTTCTTTGATTCTATCCTGAAACTGTTAGGACTTTGGCAACTATTAGAGATGGACTATTGCCTTTCACATAAGGAGGTGTGCATGAGTCTTGGGGGGGTCAGAGAAAGATTATTTAATGTTGGTGTACTAGTGCTTACTTTTTAAAGAAATATTTCTATAAAATAGTTTAATATTTTAAATGCTATTACATTTAGGTTACCTGGATAACAAATGTTTTATTGCATATTCCAGTGGCCAAGGATGATGTACAACCTTCAACTGCAAGCTTTCTGCACACAGGGTAACTATTTTTTCTGGCTTACCAGGAATTTGTTTGTTTGTTTGTAACCCCATTTGTTTCTATGTACATATTTGCAAGACACAATAAATGCATTCATTGTGAGGAACTGGTACATGTACATATGGCACCTTGATCCATGCTGATTATTAAAGATTGTTAAACCTGTATTATAATGTTGAAGTTGTGAAATTATATGAATATGCATAGCTTTGTATCTGGAAAACTGTTTAAAGAAATGTGTCTAGCCAGGCATGGTGGCACACCTGTAATCCCAGCACTTGGGAGGCTGAGGCAGGAAGATCATTGCAGGTTTGAGACATGCCTGGGCTACAAAGTTAGCCTAAAACCAGCCTGAACTGTACAGTAGGACCCTGTCTCAAAAAGACAGAGAAAGAGAGAGACACACACACACAGAAAGAGAGAGACAGAGAGAGACAGAGAGAGAGAAAGAGAAAAGAAAGAAAAAGAAATGTGTCTGGTTGTCACCTTGACAAGGGGTGGACTGTAATGGTAAATAGACTATATCAACTTGAGAAGTTTAGAAGTTTAATGAAGCAAGTCAGCAGGGGCCAGGGGCCTCACTTTGTAAACATCGTGAGCCTGTGCCAGAGGAGGGCAGGGAGAGGGTGTGAGTGCTACACCTGCCCAGGGATGAGGCAGTCTGCACACAATGTAAGGGAGGAAAAGGGGCTCTCACTGCCTCGCCTTTGCTCTTGCTTGCTTCTGCTGCCTTGAAGCATTGCCCCTGTGCCATGCTGACCTGCCTTGGAGTCAGCTCATTATGGACCAAAACTGCCACAAACTGTGAGCTAAATAAACCTTTCTTTCCTTCATTTTGGGTGTTGAGTATTTTGTCTCAGCAATGAGAGAATAGTAACCAAGACACCATCATTTGAAGGTTACTGAAAATTATAATAGCCATTCAAAATATGCACCCATTCAAAATTTTTCATTATGCACAATGCTGGAATGAATGGGTCATAAAACATGCTAAAAATATGCCTGACCCCTGGAGCCTATGACTGGTACTAATAAAATTAAGCTGACTAAATAAGTTGTTTTATTAATATGAAGTAAACATACTAACTGAAAAAGGAGCTAGAATATTTACATGAAATGTAATGTAATGAATGTAATGAATGTCATGAATGTAAATGTTAAGTAGGACAAAGAGTTAAGATTTATCTTTTCATGTGAATTGTGGTAGAAAATAGAATTGGGAAGATAGGGGAGTTAGTGTCTCCATTTGGTAATTTGGATAACTCTCCTAAGGAGTTTTATTAGCAGGGAGAATTGTTTCTGAGAATGTTTGGGACTTTAAAGTAGTTAAGAAATACTTCGAGGATCCCAGGAAACCAGCCCCACTGTCAGTGAGTTTAGAATCTCGGGGCTCTGCCTGGAGCTCCTCATCACCTCGGCTGGCCCAGCAGGTGGGCCAATATGGGGCTTAGCAACTCTGCGTGTGGGTTGCTGACTCCCTGAGACCTTGAAGCCACCTAACCCATGCAGTGTATTAAACACTTTCTCTGGCAGTCCAGGCATCTAGAACCTGATGCAAAGAGAGAAAGCTACACTATCATTCAAAAGCTCAAAACTGAAGGGTTCTTCCAGGTTCTTTGAAAGGAAAATGAATGACCATGAAATATTCATTCTTGCCTCAAACTATTCTTGGGACTCCTCTTTTGGAATATCACTCACATCATCAATCATGTGAATCACCGATTGTATCAGTTCTTAACCACACCCAGAATTTTAAAAGGTATCTTATTCTACTTTAATGATTCATAATGGCACTATTTATGATGCCTTAATCAATCAAAGTTTTCATAACATTGAAAGATCAGATCTTACTTTTATTTGGACAGTTTTAATTTCATCATATCTTGTATCAACAAGAGTTTTTCTTGTCTGGCCTCTTCGGTGTCCAAATTTGTATTTATTTCTCATAACTTGTTCATCATCCTCTATGGGTCTTCGAACATATTTAAAGCGATCTTTGAGGGCTCTTTTCCATAAAAACTGCATAAAACAACAAAGCAGACCAGTTAATCTTTACGAAGATTGCATTAATCCTATACAAACAATGAAATCTTTGTCTATCATCCTTGGGCTTGAAATTATTTTCACATTATTGTAATATAAATCATATATCTATCACTCAATTTATCCTTAGAACAGTCTCAAGACAATGCCATAGCAATCAAAATCCCAAAATTGTAGCTAAGGAAAGAGAATCAGAGAACCAGTCTCTGTTTCCTCAAAAGCAAATGGGAACACTGTTGAGATAACATCAGTCAAGAGTCCGGTGTTTAGATTCTACCTGGTTTTGTGGCTCAAGGCCCAGGAAGCATATTTGTGGGAGACAACTCCAGTGTCTCCCTTTAAATCCAAAACAATTACTGTGACTTTGATTATTTGAAGACTCATTTCCTTAAACTGATACGTAAAAAGCTGGCTAGGGTATCTCCTTCTCTTTTCAGTCAGCTCTAAGCATTGCATATAAGGCTAGCTGAGGTGCTAATATGCAGTTTCTATAGCCAACAGACAGTCCTGTTTCCTCGCATAGTGTTCTCCATACAATACAGATATGTATAGGATATGAGCATACGAAATGTTAGAGCAAATAACTCTGGGAATGTTAACTCGGTATGAACCTCAAGATAAGAGACTATGACTCCCCAGCCCACAAGAGTTTACATATCAGAAACCAAAGCAATAACCCCCCCCCCAAAATGATTCCACTGCTACCTTAATTGGATTATGTAAAGTGATCCTTCTGCATATCTTTATCTCTGCAATTTACAAAGATGTCAATCTTGCACCTGGTCAGCCAGCTCAAGTTACTCATGTAATTCCCACCATTCTCACCTCACTCACCCCTGAGCCACCCCACTTCTTCACAAGATAATAAATTCTGGGAGAAGCCTAGGATCAAGGCCTTTGTCTGCCTGTCCTCACAAAGATTGGACTTAGGACCCGTTGGCTGCCCTTAATTTGGAATATGTCTTGTTGTTTTTATTCTTGCTGTGGGTTGCATTGGTGGTGGTAGATTGGAATTAACTGGCTGAGATTCCAATGATGTCTCAATGAGATTACAAATATAACCTTTTGTATTGTGAGGAAAACTAGAAAGAGGGTTACAATAGTTGGATGACTGAACTTGATATTTGGGTTTGCAATAATATTCCCTGTCCTTCAGAAGGTACTTGGACTGTGTTGGGAGGACCAGGATCTATTACCCAAGTAACCTTCCACACTAATCCTGCTGAGCCTTTGTTTCTTCAGCTGTGAGAATAGAACAATACTCACTCCTGTCAACTGCACTAGCATGTTAAGAGTCAGATGAGAAGCTATTCATGGAAGATATTTATAAACCAAAGTGCTATTCATAAAACACTAGGACACCATGGCTGCTTATGAAAGGGGTGCTGGCTTCATCCTGAGTAAGCCCTGGGGTGTGTATGAGTCAGAGGTGCTTCATCGACGCCCACATCCTGGGGACTATGCTATGTTACAACCACATTGAAATGATAGATGGTTGAGGGTCTATGTTTTTCTTAGCCCTGATATAGGACCTAGCTCAGATATATTTGTTTCTCATGTTATCTATAGCTCTAAGGGGCCTCTAAATCTCCAGAGCCTGGTGGGAGGAACTCTAGCAATCAACTGCTAGGACAACGTTAAATTGCTAATTTCTTCTGCCTTACCACTCTCATTTTCCTTATTAACTGACTAGGACCAGAAAAAGAACCAATCAAATATAATCTCCTGCATGAGTGTTCAATCACTGAGCGCTGTATGCCTGGCACTATGAGTTACTCCCACAAATACCTTGGGTAGAGGGACGTGGAAGAAAGTACTTACATTATTGACTGATCACCAAAGTTCCACACGGGTACATGTCTCCTAGTCAACCCAAAGTAAAAAAATCAGCCCCCAAATTATAAGCCTCCTCTTGTGACAGTGAAAGCCACCATGGTACATGAGTAAATCTTTTCTTGGTATTTTAAACACAGATGAAATTGTTCTGAAACATTCATAGATTAGGATCACTTTACCTGACAAATGGACAAATCTTCACTGAGAAGTACGTATTGGGAAAAACAAAAACAGGTAGAGACACCAGCCTTGGCAAAGAGAAATTAAGGCACAATAATAACCAACTGCAGTGCATCATCTATGATTAAGTTTTACAACCAAAAATCTATCTTAAAAACATTTTATTTTTTAAAAAACATTTTAATAATTAGAAAAATGAATATGATCTTTATGTAATGTTATGCAAATACTGTTGGTAGTCTTTCTAAGTGCAAACATTGTATTGTGGTTATAGACGTTGCCCTTATTCTTTTAATGCACATGGGATGCATTTAGAGATGACAACTGTATCATGCTCTTAAATGCTTAGCTACACAAAATAAAGGCAGCCAAATGTTAATACTTACTGGCTGTAGACCTGTGTACCCCTCTCCAGGAGACACTGAATGATGTTTGCAGAGAAGTTCCATTGCTGCAATTGGGTTTCAAGGGGTGCTACTCACACTTAATAGATACCAGGGATGCTGCTTAATATATTACAATGCACAGGTCAACATCCACCACAGGACAATTGTCCAGCACCAAATATAAAGACTTGAAAACTTTCAAAATAAAAAGTAGAAAGTAAAATCATTTCTAAGGTAACCAAATACTCACTGACACAATTACACAACTCTCTCTCATACACGCAATGATGCTCTCAGAAATGTTCTGTATCTTACAATGTAACACAAACAAGCCAACTTCATATAGGCATTTGGAGAGGAAATTTGGGTAAATATCTCTCCATGCACCAGCTTCTGCTTCTGTTTAGGGGGTTTGCAGTGCAAACACGGACTACAACCTGCGAAGCAATTCTAGATTCTCCCTATCAGTGCATCATCAGGCAATGCCACTGGGCACAGATGCAGGTAAAATGCAGGCAGGAACAAAGCACATTTATTACGTTGTTTGTGGTTCACTTTGATAACTATAAAACCAAGTGTCAAAACGTGATGGGGTAGATATGTGATGTTATATATGGATGTTATATATGGACTCTCTGGAAAAAAATTCTTTAACAGCAATGGTTACTTTCAGGGAGGAAAGTTAGGTGTCCATTGGGCAGGAGTGGGAAACTTCTTTATTTGTGTTACTTTTGAATTCTAAGCAAGGTGAATGTATAGTTTGTGTTACGGATTAAGAACTGGTGGTCAACTTAATGCCAGCTGGATTACATCAGCGTGGTGTTGAGTGTAGATGTTCCACCTGAGGAAAGTTGCCAGCATAAATAGAAACTTGGAGAAGGAGAAGCTATTGTGTTGTGGCGTTAATGCATTGTTGTGTTGAGGGATTGAGGCATTGAGGCATTGTGGGTTCTCCTATGTGTTGCTGTTTGAGCTGTTGGTTCTCCTGGAGAAGCCCTGGTCCTCACATTGAGCATTGCTTCCTGGCTCTGGAGAGGAAGACATGTGCTGCTTGGTCTCCAGGATGAACTCGTCACGGTAGCTTCCTGGCATGTAGTCGACCGTGCTTGTCATCAGAGGAGCTCAGGGCCTCCGTGTCACTGAGGATGGCTGTGGTGCTTTTCAAGGAAGCTCTAGTCTTTGTTGTGAGGGTGACTTTTTGGCTCCAGCATAGAACCCTCAACCTACCAGCACAGCTCCATCATCCCGTTGGCATGGACCTCCTGGCTTCCATTACTGACCTTTGGGCCTTCACAGCATGGATCCCTAAAAGAGACTCGCATGAGTCCTTATGGGCTTTAGACCTCCAGTTGGACTCATGGGACACATTGTCATGGGCTCTGGGTCTTCATCTGGACTCATGTGGGACACTGCTGTGGGATTTAGGCCCTTTACTAAATATTCTGTGTCTTTGGTGTTGCGGATAGATTTCCTGCAGTTTTGTGTGTTAACTCGTGTTGTACAACAGCAGAAAGGCATTTAATGCTACTGAAATACACAGTTAAATATACTGCAATAAGAAGTTGAGTGAACTTGACACTACAAGTTTCTGATATAAGGAACAATTAGGGGGGATTTAAGGAACCATTATCCATGTATATGTAAAGATGCACAATTATTCCCGGTGTCTCTCTGTGCCTATGCTTCAAACATAAAATTTCAAACATAAAATTTCAATTATTAAAAAAAAAAATTCAACCATACTTGTCCTTTGGTATCTACAGAGGATTGGAGCCAGGGTCCTGGCAGAGGCTAAAGTCGCTTGTGCAAAATGGCTTGATATTTGCACATAACCTTGTCCATCCTCACTTTGACTTTAAATCATCTCTGTGTTACTTTTCACACTTAGTGCAATGTAAATGCTATGTAAATAATTGTGATGTTATACTGTTTAGGGAATAATGACAAGACAAACTTTAGTATGTGTTCAGTACAGACAAAACCAGCATAAGCCTCACTATATACCACAGTAACCCAACGTTAATTCTGAGAATACTGTTAAGGGAAACAACCCCCCAAAGTCTCATGTGTATAGAGGGTGACTGGATAATAAGAGCATTGCACCCATCTGTGGATTCACTGTTGAATTTGCAGCTGAGTGTGCCATTAGGAAGTGGGGCCTGATTGGAGGCGGGTCCCGGAGATTACTCTAAAAGAGTATATTTGTATCCTCACTTTTTCCTGCTCTCTCTGCTGCCCTTCTGCAATGCCCCTCTGCCATCCACTTCCTGCCTTGGAGCCAGCTAACCAGGAACTGAAGCTGTGAGCCAAAACCAGCTTCTCTTTTAAGTTGTGGGTGTCAGGTATTCTATCCCAGTGATGAGAAAGTGGCTAAGACAGATACGAAATCCATTGAGATGGAGTGCATACTGTGGTCCTATTCATAGTAGATGGCAGGTATTGTATATTGAATGTGGAGGAAATACTATCAGTTCTGTCTACCATATTGGTGAGACTGCACTTTTGGAATCCCAGAGTCTTTTTGTTGGTGTTTTGTTACATTGTTTTGTACTACAGTAAATCTGGTTTGTTTTGTAGTGCATTTTGTTTTTGTTTTTTTTTTTTTTTTTTTTTTTTTTTTTGTCTTTTTCATTTTTATCGGTACCGGGGATCGAACTCACGACCGCCTGCTTGCAAGGCAGGTGCTTATGCCGCTGAGCTAAATCCCCAGCCCCTGTAGTGCATTTTCTATGTAACAGCATATTTTAGAAAGACAGACACTGTGGGGATGAGAATATCAATATCTAAATTCTAGCCTTGGTTTCAATAATTATTATCTCCAGATATGAGTTGCAACACCTTTTCTAAGTATATTTTGTAAAAAAAAAAATCTTTAAAATGTTTTCATTCAAAAATTTCTATAATTCTAACCATATATTATGAATATTTACTGAAAATATGTCAAGGAAAGCAGGCAGGAAATAAGAGAAGAAAAAGAGTAGAAGGGGAGAGAAGAGAAAAACAGAGGAGAGAAGGAGACAAAGGAAAAGGAGGAGCAGGAGGAGGAGGCAAACCCGAAAGAAGCAGAGGCCTTAAATTTTTTTACTTTGAGTGATATTGGCACTTGTCTTTTGTTGTTCAAATCGGAGTTGATTGCTTAAACTCTATGTCTTTAAGACAGAGAAACAAAAATATTTTCTGACAGACACCTGAGATAGTAACATGCAAGGAGACATCTGTCTTCTTTAGCTACGACGGCCAATGTGTGTGCATAGGCACAGAGACACCGGGAATAATTGTGCATCTTTACATATACATGGATAATGGTTCCTTAAATCCTCCCTAATTGTTCCTTATATCAGAAACTTGTAGTGTCAAGTTCACTCAACTTCTTATTGCAGTATTTTTAACTGTGTATTTCAGTAGCGTTAAATGCCTTTCTGCTGTTGTACAATGAAGGCCGCAGTCGTTTCAACCTTGACAGGCAGGTTTAGACAGCAAAACTCATAAAATGAGAAGCAGTTCTCATGCCAGGCAGTGCATTTGAATCATGTTGGGAATTTCTGAGTACACAAAATGCCAGGCGTCTGTCCTTAGATCCAGCAACTCAGAACCTCTGGAGCTCTTCAATGCAGCCAGAGCTTAGAACTGCGTCTAGAGCAGCTTGACTATTTTGCTCAGCACAGTGGTGACCTGAGAGGCTGGGAGAGACAGGAGTGCCAGACCTCAGTGCCAGACAGCTGCTTCCTGGGTCTCATTAGAGGGTGAGGAGCACACTACTGTCCCAGCTCTGACACGGGTACAGTCACGGACCTCTCCTTGCGCGTGCCACATCTTCTAAGGGCCCATCCTTCCTACAGACACCTTGTTCCCAAGGAACCCACCTTGCCTTGAGAGAGGGACAGACAGATGATACCGGAGAGACAGAGGACAAAGGAACACAGGGCAGAGACAGAGAGAAAGTGATACCAGGGGGAGGGAATGCAAAGCAATGGAAAGAAGTAGCAGCCACCGAAAGAGAGAGGCTGAGACAGAAACAAAAGGGAAAAAATCAGAGCCCGGAGGGATGTAAAGCTGTTATTTTCAGAAGGATGGGATTAACTGGTGCTAGTGGCATGAAGTCACTTACAAAGCCGCAGCCGTCCTCATCCAGGAAGGGGTGGGCCTGCAGCAGGGCGCTGACCACATCGTTGTACTGCTGGGTTGTGGGATACCTGTTCGCCACAAGGAAAATGGACTTCACTTCAGATGGCTTAGATTCAAGGTGAGACTGAAGTGCCCAAGCCTTACCCCCAAATCTTTCTGCATAACAAAGTAGACATTGAAATGCTGGGGCATGTTGGGTTTATATCCAGCTTGCCATCCAACATCTAAAGAGACTTGAGTCCAAACAAATTCTACTCTTCTTTGCCAATAGACCTTGCCCAGAAGCAGCAGGTCTGCCCTGTTAGTACTCACAGCGAGCCTTCTAGATACTTGGTCATGTCAGCCTGGAGAAACTCGATGATCCTTATCCTCGTGCTGTGATCGGGACACTTCTGCTCTGCCAGCATGCACTGGACATCGTAGGGAAACTCTGGTAACACATAGGACCGGGCCCATTGCAATGCTTTATTCCTCGCTAGAATGTGCCTCATGTTTCTCCTGTGAAACACACAAAGTGTGGAGCTCCATTTCAAATACATACGCAATTCATTAGTTCTCTGCATTCTGAAAACTATGATACAAACCCCTTTCCCTCAGTGTATCCTATAAGTGGGTGACCTAATCAATCCATCTTCCACAATTTATCTATTCACAAATACTTTAAATCCTGCTAGGGTGTCTCTGTGTTCTGTCTCTTTGCACACACATATCTGTAGTTCCAGAAAAAGTCTCATAATAATATAGATTCTAGAATAGAGTCTAAAGTTGGAAAGAGTAGTAAACCGTATATCTTGAAGCAGTAATGTAATGCACAGCTTGAAACTAAGCAAGATCTCAAACTGGAAAAAAATAAGCTGTAATTCAAAGAAGCAAATTAAGCCTAAAACAAATTAGTTTCAATACCCAATTAACACATTTTAAATTATGCTTTTATAGTGGAATACAAAATTCACCTAGTGGGCTGGAGATTTAGCTCAGCGGCGTAAGCGCCTGCCTTGCAAGCAAGCAGTCGTGAGTTCGATCCCTGCTACCGATAAAAAGGAAAAAGACAAAAAAAAAAAAATCACCTAATGTTGGTGGGTTTTATTTTAATATGGTACATTGAGTTTCTAAATTGAAACTAAGTATTGCATAGTCCAACTCCATTCATATGAAGTTTCTGTGAAAGATGACAGAAACTGCAACTGGAGAAAGCAGATTAGCAGCTGCTAAAAGCTGAGAGAGGCCAAAGTGGACTGGGTTAATGCCTGCACATCGTTACAAATTTATTAAAACTAAGCTGTACACTTTCAATGGGACAATTTTGTCTTAGGCAAATCAAACACTAATAAGGCTAGTAATAAAATTAAGCATCAGAACCACCTTAAAACCTTAAAGTTTGAGGCTCGTCATTGCATGCATAAAGAATCTAAAGTAAAAATTTACAAGCAAAAGTTAATCCATGGCATTGCTTAGCTGTCAGCCATTTTCCTAATAGGACTCATCCAGACGGAAGTGAAGGGACGTGGCCGGAAGTGAAGAGATGACGGCCGGAAGTGAACAGATGGAGGCCGGAAGTGAACGGATGGCAGCCGGAAGTGAAGGGACAGTGGCAAGCCACTCAGAGGACAGCAGACAAATAACTCTTGTTGTACAAGCCCCTTCTGAATCCATTATTCTGTTTCTTTCTCCCATGGCCAAATGATATCTCTCCTACCTACTTAGACCAAGGGTTCTTAGGTAAAAACACATTTGTTGGCTGTGTGTTTTGTTTCCCCAGGGTTTTATTTTTTTCTGTTTTAAAGCAATGCAGTTAGGCAGATCTTGAATCCGCTTTCTGTACCTTTCAGCGTCCATCTCCTTTTCAAAACCCAGTGAATCACTAGCTTAGCTCCTAGTTGTTTGGCCCCTTTGAGGCTGCTTTCATGTACTTACCACCTTATCACTAGATAAAGTGAAGACACTGCTGCTGTACAGGTCTATGGAACTATCTTTGGCTTGGGTACTTTCTTTTTTTTGTTAGTACACATTTGCAGTATGTGCATGATCATCTTCTAATTGTCATACATGCATTTATCTTCTTGTTTCCTGACAGTGTGACTGGCACGGTGAGTGGCACTGATTCAAGGTGCTCTTTTGGCTAACCGTCAGATGCCATGCAGTGAATGTGGCAAGCACATCTTCCTCAGATCTACTCGCGTGTGTCAATCTCTGTGACCAACAGCATCTTTTGTATCCTGAGAATAGAGTGACTGCTTCCTGTTTATGAGGGCAACTCTGAGCCAGACTTGTACTTTGTCTACGATCCCTTTGGGTTCCTGGGGCTCCCCAGGAAAGAAAAAATTATCATGGTCTCTCTATGTGTTTGAATATTAAAATTTACATTTGGAGGGAAAAATTTGAATCTGTTCTTTGCATGTAAAAACCTCATTTGGAGCTACTGAGTATTTGCAGTTATTTTATGCCCATGAAATTGGCAATATTACTTGGAGAGGGGTTAAACTTTTAAACTTCCAAAAACTGTTTTTTTTTTTTTTAAATTAATTAGATCTTAAGGAACCAAAGCTGTAGCTTCCTTTTCAATTTTTTTTCTGTAAAATGAGCTATTGTTTTCTGCTTGGTTGAAGTTGGTTTTTTCCAATTTAGTCAATTCTCAAATTAAATTTCCTTTTTTTGTTTTACTCATTTCTAAAACAAAGCAGGAAGTAGAATTTTCAGATTCAATAAGAAAAAAAGCTTTAATAACATCAAACTCCTTACTATCACAAATTTGAATTTTTCATATTTAGTGATAAGGATAATTCTTACTATAGTAAAATTTCAAAGGCTATCTTATTATCAGTTACTGTACAACCTGAGGTGTATTCGAATTCTCAGATTTGGGCCAGACTCAAACCCGCTCAGTTCTCCGGTGCTCACTGTGTAGGTGCCAGCAGGTCTCTCTCACACAGTGCCCCAGGCTTCTCTGCTGCTGGGCTTTGCACAGCCCTCTCCTCAGGGGGACGCTGCTCCCTGTGCCACGGGAGTCAGCACTGACCATGCACGGATGAAGTGCTTTGCACCTGGGCTGTAGCTGTGGCCATCCTGAGAAGACAGGGGAGAAGCAGATTTTCTGTGCTGTTCCCAAGCCTTTCCAAGCTGTCAGTCTGGCCTATCAGCCAGTTCCCAACTCTGTCAGCTTAAATGCATGGGTGCTTTTCTCAAACCATCTTTTGGTTTCCCTAAGAGCCTTTGTTCTCTGCACATCCTGAAGGCAGAGTATCCCCTGAATGAACTGTGAGGTCATCAGCCTTCTCCTCATGTTACGAGTTTTCTTTCGCCCTGTGACTCAAGCCATCGGAGATCGGCATCGATATGAACAACTGGGGAACTGCACCACGCTCCAGCCCTCGGTGGCTTTTCTGTCACAGGCCCTCACCCAACGTAGTTCAACTCTGATCCTGTGAGTGCTCAGCTATGTTTGGCTCCCTCTTTGGCAATTTCCCCATGCTCTTGTAAAATAGAACAGTTTGGAGCAAAGAGGTACTTAAAAGGTCATAAAATGTGAAGGAAAGCAGATATCAGATGTAAAATTCTATGACAGACAGTGTGTAGCTGCATAGCCTCCTGGTTCCATATATAAAATCGACATTGTTCCAACAAAAGCATTCTGTTCTCTTAAGATGACCCACTGGTGATGAGGAATCACTGAGTAGTGAGTACTAAGGCGATGACCAAGGGAAAAAAGGGTCATATCCTTAAGGCCGATGTCTTCACATTGGAAAAACTGCACTCCCCAGTATAGCAAAAACAAGAAGACTGTGATCAATACAGGGTGATTAATAAAAAAATGGTGAATATTTAAATTTTTTAAAATGTATTATAGTAATGACCCACTGCAACTGATTTTTTTTCCACTGCCATTAATTCTCCTCAAAATATTTCTCCTTGCTTCCAGCACACTGATCCCATTATTCTTGCCAGTTTCTGGAGCAGCTCTGGAAGGCCTCTTTCCAGAGTGTCTTCCTGCCGCATGATCAAAAATAGGGTGACTGCTACTTTGAGTGGCACCCAGCAAAAGGAGGCTCATGAAAACGTCTTGGCTTGTCTTCAGCTATCTCATTCACCACAGTTGGTACTGTGTGACTTCTGCTCACCCCCCAAATCAAAATGACCACAAGATAAATATTTTGAGTCAATCCAGGGTACTGAGGTAGCTTCAACAGTGAACTGAAGACACCATGAAAGGGGACTGACTTCCAGAGCTGCTTCAGAAAGTGGCAAGAGGGATGGGAAGAGTGTGCAAGCAGGTGGGAATACTTCTAAGGGGGATGAAGAGCAATAAGCCTTTTACTGTAGAACATTTTTTAAAAGTTAAACACGCACCATATTTTTCAGAAATACCTCGTGCCGTGCTCTCCAGGGACTGAACTGAAAGATGGAGCTCCACAAGCCACCCTACCTCGACATCCCATTTTTCTTTACTGCCTACACCTGAGGCTGCACAGATTGGGATGCTCATTTTATACTATCAAGCCTGGTAATAAATGGAGCGTGAGCTCAGAGACATCTGAAAGATTTCACATTTCTGGAATGTAGAAGATGAAGGAGGAGCTGGGAAAGGCTGAGATGTCTGTCTCAGGCATGTGCTGCCTTCTTATGCTAGGACAAAAGAGGGTGCTAGGATTTATATCCTCAACTCGGGGATCACATTTTACCGAAGCAGAGCAGAAGCAGCAGCCTGGGAATGATGCGTCCTACTGCAACTTGGCAAAAGTCTCCACTGCTAAGAAAACAAAATGAGCAAGCTTTGAAGAGTCTGCTACAGAGACCTCCTGTGAATCAACAAGGCAGGACGCCATCTCGGAAAACACAGAATGTGGAGGAGACACTGCCTCCCTGGTGTCACTGGTGGTACCCAACACTCACTCAGAAAACACTCGGCCCACATCTGCCGATGTTTGCTTTTAGCTTATGTTTTGTAGCCCGGGTTTCACATCTGCCAGTCAGTCGAGGAGACTTCAGAGGAATTCAGTTTATGAAGTTCATGTGTGAGCTCATCAGGAAGCACAAAGGAGGGGAGAGAGCTGACCAGCTACTGTCTGAGCTTTCAGGAGGAAATTCAAGGACTCAGGAGCCTTTGGGCCCCTGAGAAATCAAGAAAAGAAGCAATGAATAAATTCATCTTTTATATCATCCCATCCCCCACTCCTCTTAATATTTGGTAGGAATGCAAAGTTCCAGAACTTAGCCTTCCTCTTCAAGGCTTCTCATTCTACTGTGAGTCACATAAACGGACCTCAGGGAGCTGTTATGCCTCAGTCCTTCACTTTCCTTCCTCACTCATATAGCAAATTGGACTCAAACTTGCAATCCTCCTGCCTCAGCCTTCCAGAATCCTGGGATTTTAATCATGCACCACTACACTCGGTGACTCATCACCTCCTGCTTGGACTTTCACCTGGTGTCTTGGTGAACCTTCTTTCTCCTCTGGTTTTTCCCAGTGCATTTCTCTACATCACTGCCACACAGAAAATGAT